AAGTTTTGTTGTCAGCTATGAACTGACAGTAGAATACATAAAGCACAGAGGTTTCACGTGAATGACCAAGGTCAAAACCAACAACTGACATTTCTTATGATACTTATGGACTCCAAACACTATATGGGACTACTGGCGAAATTGTGAAACCTTCCTCTTCTCCATTATTATGAGTGAAACTAAACCAAAGACTCCAAAGATATTATGACGTTTATTTATATTTTTATCCGACTTCAAAAAAGAAGGAGGTTCTCCATGCGTAGGTATATTTTATTATGTATGTTCTCTGAAGCGCAGTGTAAAGTTATACTTACAATTAGTTTAACTAAATTATTACTTATTTTAAATTCTAAAAGCTAATATTTGTCCGGTCACCAAATAGGAACTTTGTGTGGTAGATTTTATATTGTTATAGTGTCCTTATTAGAATTCTATGAAATTACATTTATTCAGTAGAACGCAAATGGTCTACTTTTTCGTTCTGTAGTGTGTGTGCAGAATAGATAATATCTATATCCATGTGGGTGTAGAAAAAGGTTTTTCTGTTCGACTGACTACGAATTTTTATTAAAATAGAAAAACGATTTTTTAATTACTTATAATAATAATAATAATAATAATAATAATAATAATAATAATAATAATAATAATAATAATAATAATAATAATAATAATAATAATAATAATAATAATAATAATAATAATAATAATAATAATAATAATAATAATAATAATAATAATAATAATAATAATAATAATAATAATAATAATAATAATAATAATAATAATAATAATAATAATAATAATAATAATAATAATAATAATAATAATAATAATAATAATAATAATAATAATAATAATAATAATACTCTTCCTAATTCACCCCCTTAGGAGTGAATTTCAACCGCTGAAATCGACTGAACGACTTGTGTAGGGGAAGGGACGGCTATTAATATTATTTGCCGTGGCGCTTCGGGGCGACTTAAAGATGATTGATGGTGTCATTTGACTTACAGGTGAGGAAAACCCGGAAAACCTCACCCACCATCATCGAGACGGTAATGTATGGCGAATTTTTTTAATCTGCATGTTATATCAACAGAAATTGAATTTCTATTAATACGCCACACATCAAATCCTAAATCCTAAAACGAATCATGCAATTTAATTAAAAATCCACATGGTCTGGTCTGGGATTCGAAACCCAGCAGTCTCAGACTCATAAACTTGCCTATAAATGAATATAAGCGCGATATACCGCTACACCACCGTCCCGATAAGGGACCACAAGGAACATCGCACCGTTTTAACAAAATATTGAATATTTTGGAAAATAAATGGATTCTGCTTTATTTGCATGTTCTGTGATTATATGCTTCAATTATTGTTCTAACATTATTTTCACCGAGTACACTTCTTTTTTCATAAAACCCTTAATATGTGGGCCTCCAGATCACCAAAAAATAGTTGATTGGGGCCTCGTCCAATAGTGAGGATTCACACTAAACTTTGTTTTATATAAAAAGAAAATGCAGAATATATGCTGCTTATATTGAATCCAATTGATACATTTACTATTAGAAAGACAGCTATTAACAATACTGGTACATTAAATGAAATTTGATAGTGACATAACTCAAAATAGGCTACTAATGCTAACACAAAACGTTGCTATCTACTCATTTATGCCACTATTGCTCGCACACACTACGAAAAACAGTATAGATGCAGCATGTGCGTGAAATACGTCTTCTACCCAGGTATCGGTAACTGGTATAGCCCGAACGGAAACGATGTTTTAGTTTCAAAAAACTAATTCTAGAGGGCGTAGTATACACAATTTACAGAAATCTACAATTGATGGTGGAAAGAGTGGAAGTGTCATTTGTCATTGGTAATTGTTATTTATTGTGATTATCAATAATATCAAATATCAATAATTATTATTTGTTTGTATTTGGGAGTGCTCTGGATCCTGGATGAATAAATAGTAAGTTTTTTGTAAATTATTGTTTATTGTATTATCAACTTGGTCTTGTTGTGTTGTGTTTTTAATGTTCAATTTGTTTACTTGATCTTGCTGACGATTGTGAGCTTATTTTAAATTTTTGTGATCATTTTTAGTTATAAAAGCTGTAATGTCTTGTATTTTTGTATGCCAAATTAATGTGTAAACACTCTGAAATACTAATAACGATTTATTTCAAATTTGAGTATTGGCTGTTCGCAGTCCGTTTTTTAAGAATAAAACAACAAATTTGTAAAAGCTATTTAGTGTGTGATAAACATTTTGAAGATAAGTTTAAATAATCTGGTACACGCAGAGATCTAACTGTTTTTATTTGTTCTAGTACAAACTTTTTGAAGCCGTTTGGAGTGGTAGTATTGCATCGTTGAAGACAAAAACAGCCTAGTTAGGGAAGTAATAGTCTCTACTTTTTGTATTCATGCCTCACTTTCCCTGCTGCCTAACACATTTGATTTTTATATTGATTTAATTCAGATTGTCACTTTTACTGTTTTTTATTTGTACAAACTTTCTTTAAGCCATTTGGAATGACAATATTGGATTGTGGAAGACAAAACAGAATAGTCCGGGAAGTAATGGTCAGTGTACCTTTTTTTTATTCATGCCTCACTTTCTGTGCTCCCTAACAGATTTGAAGGGTTTGGGAAAAAAGGGTCCAAGTCACAATTACCAAAATGTTCAGAAAACCAAATTTAATTTAGACTGAGTAAATACAAACTTTTGATACTTTAAGGTAATTGATTACAAAAAGATGTTACTTTGTATAAATGTTGCCTGATTATATTGTAGTTAACCACTTAATTTACCAGACAGTTGTAATTTTTATTCTAAATACTGAAAGTGCCAAAATAACAGTAGGAAAAGATGTTTGGTCCTTGGACATAATTTGAAATGCACTGTTTTGCATTTGCTAATTTGGCTTATTACATGGAAACATACTGGTATTTTACAAAATAGGGCGGACCAGTTCAATTTTGACAAAAATGTGACTTAGTCGCTTTTTCTTCCTACGTCCTTCTTGATGTTTAAGTTTATTAATATTTATTTTTTGTTCTAGATAAAACTTTTCAACCTCTGTGGACAATGACTTAACTTTCCAGCTAATTAACACGCTACATTTAATTATTCTATTTGTATGTTTTTTATTTCAATAAATTAATTTTCTTAATCATGCTTTTAAATTTTTTGTGTTTTAATAAAATATTTGAACTTGGAATCAAATTAGGATTGGTTCATACTACTCATTTTTTGCTTTATTGTAACAAATATAATTTTATTGCTACAATAAACGTAAAAAAGGAGTTAGTATGAACAAATCTTAATTTGACTACCACTTTTAAACTAAATATTGATTGACAATTTTGAATGTTCCCGCGTTTTGTATTAACTAAAGTGGCCGCGAGATGGCGCCACTTTCGTTCAAATAGTTTAAAGAACGGTCAATCGACGCTACAATACTGTCTCGAATTTTAACATTGCCGTTTCTATTCTAAAACTAAGTGATCTCTGTCTTCTACCTTAGTAACACATGCAGCATATTGAGGGGAATATCTCAATTAATTTTATGCTAGTCTTGTTAAATGAAACTTCATCAAATTTAAAATTTAATTCAGTTGTTTCAAAGAGTTTTAAATATTTTTGAGATCTGCCACTATTGTCACCGGTGAGCAATATTTTATTAAATTTTCAGCACCTGGCAACATTGTAAAGGGATAGCCAATTTGCCTCGTCGTAATTATATCGTTTAGTGATCCGATGCACAAATTTATCGTTGTGATTTAAATGGTCGTAACAATGTCAACAAAACAAGTCATATTTTCTTTTGTTGTCCTTACTGATTATATTTAATGAGGAATCTAACGAGCCGTGACATCGCAGTCGCTCGGTGCTTTCGTTTGTGATCATGTTTCTTGTTGCTCGACTCGACAACAAAACTAAGACAAAAGGGGCGGTAGTCGTCTTCTTGTCTTGCCGTTTGTGCATAAGAACTAAATATATCTAGTTCAATGGATATTATTTTAATAAACTGTATGTTTGAAAAATTCGGTAGATAGATAGCTAGGTAGATAGATAGATATATAGACAGAAGTTTATTCACAGTACAGCGAAATTTGCAAATAAAAATGATGCAAAGACAATACAGATTCACAAATTAAAACGAGAATGTACTACTCAGTGTTCTTTAATGGCGCAGCCAGAAAACGAATCGGGGGGGGGGGCATCTCAATAATAGTTTTTAGCCCAAGAGCGAACCCAGCGAGGGCAAATATTCCCCACTCTCTTGCAGCTTAAAATTAGACAATATACTCACAAAATGCCCAACCGACTCCAGGTTGTCCCCTAGTTCAAATCTTGAATTTAACCGTTAAACAACTTGAATAAAAATGAATAGATAAGTTTAAATTTGAAAATATTAATAATACTAAGATTATGATTTAGCAAGTTGTAAATATCCCAAAATATCTAATTTTGGGAGTGAGAATGACCAGGAACTTGTTGGATACGTTGTGGACAGTAGAAAAGCACTGATGATGGCAAATAAGCCTAAAGCGCTTTGCATTTATTAATTAAAAAGTTTTGCACGAAATACAAGTCTTTCCTTTTGAATCTAAACTACGTGCACACAACTGTCAACCTTTTTTGGTTATTTTAAATATTTAAATATTTTTTATTCCATAATACAAATGCTCCCTTCAAAATAGTTTTATTGCTAAAAATATCAAGAAAATCATGTTTGGCATAAAAATTGTGTAAGGTAATAAAAGACTGAAAATTACTTTCTGCGTTTTCAGCAGAAGGAAACAATAAATTAAAGAGGGTTATGGTTTTACTGTGTTTTAAGAATTTGTCTCTGATACTACAAAATAAAAGAGCCTAAAAAGGGAATGAAAATTGTTGTATTTAAATAATTTCTTGTAGATGCTGTTGGTATAACCAATCTTTTAGTTTGTCGAGATGGCAACCGTGGTATTTATATGTCGATATCGTATTGTTTAAGAACATCATCTGCCTCTCGCAATATTCCTTTAAACTGATTATCAGCGTCAACTCGTATATCTTTTACTTGCTCAGTAACTCTCGCAGCTAATTCAAGAGCAGTACATAAATCCAAATCTCGTTTCTGAAAAACATTACCGTGGCGAAGTGTTAATGCATATCTAGTTTTTAGGCATCACAAAGTCACTATTATAGTATACATCCAAATATTCCTAAGAATATTCCTTACATCAGTTCATGGAACTATAATAAATATCAGTCATCTATAATTACTCGTTTGAAGCTCAATCACGGCCGATTCCCTGCACATTTATGTAAAATTGGAATATTGGATTCTCCCTTTTGTCCATATTGCAATATAAACGCTGTAGCAGATATCAATCATTTATTTTTAGATTGTAATAAAAATGCTCAACATACCACCGTATTGTATCAAGATTTAAATAAACTTTCACTCCCACTTCCACTCAATATTTCTTCACTTTTAGTTCAATCAGATAAGATAATTTTTGACGCTATTATTAAATTTACTCAAAATACTAAAATAGATATTTAACATAATATATACAAAAATTATTAAGTTAAAACTTTCTGTGGTAAATAGACTTGCATGTCTGATGCCATCCCATTACAAAAAAAAAAAAAAAAAAAAAAAAATATGAATTCGGGTGTTTTTAAACTAGCCACTAAGGAGATCACCTCGGATGACGTACTTCGATCTGTCCAGTTCTTAATTTCTTCTAAAGCTAAACATACGGACTTGTACAGTTCTTTCATGACTAATACATAATCGTGCCTCTCCACCCAACGACTTGTGCACAAATTTTTCAATCCCTGTCTCTTAGTTTCTGGTATTACTATTTCTATCTTCTGAAGCAAAACATTTTTCTATGATACCCAAACAATTCTGGATTTTGGCAACATTAGAAGAGATTGAGAGGCAGAGATTCAGATTATGAGAAAAACAGTTAACGTAAGTGATGGCTGGGAATTTATAAGATATTATTGTTTGCTGCACCATCATATCCTTGACCACAAAGATATTTAAAATTTATTCCAAGGAATTCAATTGTCGTGAGAATACTTATACTTCAACAAACTGTAAGAAGTTTTCGCATACTTTCTCAGTTTCAGTATGAACGTATCTTATGCAAAAAGTTAGCTGATCTTTATTTGAAATATCCGTTGTTTCCTCCATCAGTACAAAAAAGCCTTTGTCGCGTTAACCTCGTTTACACGTTTCTTCACTATAATATTATTAATCTTCTGAATCTAGTTCTGGATATCCTAGCTTAAATAGGTCGCATTTGCACCGGAAATTTCCAAATGTTCTCTGAGAACTTGGTCACCTACACCTTTGTTTTGATTTAATCAATTGTCAAATTCAGACTGTACGAGGGTGGATCAATAAGTACCCGTGTTTAAAGGCAGGTGGCGTTGCTGAGGGAAGTTGGCATTACTGTCGTGTACTGTCATCTGTCGCACGATACCATACCAAATTTCAAACTGATTCTTACGTTGGTTTTTATTTGGCAGCCACATGTACCATACGTGTTTCCCATTAACAGATAAAGTGGAAAAATAACAATAACGATCCGTAATTCGCTTTTTATTTTTGGATGGATAAACATGCGATGAAATAAAAGAAAAGTTGGTTGCTGTCTACGGGGACCCTTCACCATCTATGACAACCGTAAGATATTGGTTCAACGAATTTAAACGTGGTCGTATATCTGTTGTTGATGAAGAGCGACCAGGTCGCTCGGCAGACGTTGTTACCGAGGAAATCGTTAAAAAGGTCCAAGACATGATTGTCGCAGATCGCCGAACGAAAGTGCGAGAAATAGCAGAAGCCGTAGGCGTATCATATGGAATGGCAATTAATATTTTGCATGATAAGTTAAACATGACAAAGGTATCGGCCCGATGGGTGCCGCGATTGCTTACGGTGGACAACAAGCGGATACGGCTGTCAATGTCGAAAGAGTGTTTGGAGTTCTTTAATCGAAATTCTCAGGAGTTTTTGTGTCGAGTCGTCACCGTTTATAAAACCTGGATACATTATTATACGCCACAGATTAAACGACAGTCGAAGCAAAGGATTTTTCTGCTCCAAAGAAAGCAAAGACGATCCCATCGGCCGGAAAGATCATGGCCACGATTTTTTGGGATTTCGAGAGAATAATCCTTATCGACTTTTTGCAGAAAGAAAGTACGATCATAGAACAGTACTATAGTGAATAATTGGACCAATTCGATGCAAAATTAAAGGGGACACGGCCCCATTTGGCTAAGAAAAAAGTCATGTTTCACCACGATAAGGCACCAGCACATTTATCGAGAATTGTCGCGGTCAAATTGCATGAACTGCAGTACAAATTGCTGCCGCACCCACCGTACTCACTCGACTTGGCTCCATGCGACTTTTTTTTATACACCAACATGAAAACGTGGCTCGGGGGAGAAAAATTCAGCTCTAACGAGGAGGTTATCGTCGAGACTGAAGCGTATTTTGCGGAGTTCGAGAAATCATATTTTTTGGAGGGGTTAAATAAATGGCAGAAACGTTGGGAAAAGTCTATAGCACTAAAAGGAGATTACGTTGAAAAATAGCAACACATTGCCTCTTCCTTTCTAACACGGGTACTTTTTGATCCAGAATCCCTATGGCCTCTGAGAGGAAGCCCTGTTCTTCCACAAAATATAATAGTTTTTATTATGTGCGTTAATTTAAGTCGATTTTTACGAACTGTTTCAGAAGATACTTTGACTAAAATCTTATTTTAATTTTTTTTTAAGGTTATCAGCGCGAAGAACTGAAAACTTGTGATAGTTTGTTAAATTATGGTGTTCAAATTTCTCCAGTGCCTTTTTCTATGTTCAAAACGGTTCACTACATAAACTTTCTATGCTTTGACTACTACTTTGACCTGCAAACAGTACGCAATATTTGAAAAAGGCTCTATCAACTTTTTTTAAATAGGCAAGCCATGAACATTTTTATAGCCAAATTTAATTGAATTTATGGTTATGTTGTCCATGTTTTCATAACGAAATTTGATATATCAACTAATTCATTGGTGGCAGCCAATTGAAAATTTGTTACTGTAGGCACGATATCCTTATTATTTTTCACTTTTGTTACATGTTCGTCTGTCTCGTTAGTTTTCTGTTTCTTAAAAAAGTTTAACAAAGTATTTGAATCGCCGGCGCCGTGACTTTTGAAATTTTTATTTGTAAAATAAAACTGCGTTGACATTATTTATTTTAAGTCTGAGCCCCTCACAAATTTTATGTTATTATGTCCTAAAAATTTAAAATATTATCGTCTTTATCTTAAAAAAATTCTGCTTTGTGCTTTTGTTAAAATGAGGTAATGACTATGTATGTGAAATATATTATTAAAAAAACTATAATTAATTAAAACATTTCCTTTTTATGACAGCAAAGGACTGTAGTTGCGATAAGTGGTATCTAAACGCAAAGGGCTTTATTTACAAAATTATCTATGATTTTATCAATACCTAATTATATCGACATCAAATTTTAAAATAATTACTTACCTTTTTATTAAATACTCTCAACTCGAACTAGTCCGCGCTCTTTATACAATTTACAGAACACCGTAAAAGCTTCAAATAAATGCAACCAAACTTATATGAGATCATCTATTATTTTTTATATTTTTTGAGATATAAACATTTTTTGTTTGTGAATAAAACTCAGTCCTTACCAAAGACTTTTAATAAAAAAATTAGTAATTTTAACAATCCGTGTTACAACCTCTAGCCCTTATGCAAGCTTCAATTCGCTTTGGCCATACTACTTGTTAAATTTTCAACATTGTTTTGATAAGCTCTAACCCTTCTTTTGAGCTGGTCCCACAAGTGTTTGATAGGATTTAGGTATGGTAAACATGCAGGCCAGTCTACAACTGTGACACCTTTCAAGTTCAGATAAAATTATCCCCAATTGCAGATCTCCAAAGCCTGACGATTGGTTCTATTAATCAACATACCTCGGACCAGTTCAGGTTTGTTGAAGTGGTAACAATGACATTTTTATTCCCAGCATAATACCTCCCCAGAACATTATAGTTTCTCCTTAATATCTTGGTATAGATCTTTCAGCGTGGAATCTGGCTCATCTTCCTGGAGCTCTGAGAACCCAAATTCGATGATCATCTGATCTTAGGCCAATTCTGGTCTCATCCGAAAAAAGAACTTTTTGCCAATTCTCAATTGTCCAGTTTTGCTGTTGAAGGAACCAATTTAGCCGGTCAACTTTATTTTGCCTAGATATCGGTAGGACCCGTAACTCTCTTCTACTGTACGACCTTAGAGCGCGAAGTCTTTTTCTTGGGGTTTCAACTGAAACGTTCACAACTGAAGCTTCCAGAAGTTGTCGTTGTAGCTTTGGATGAGAAACACTGGGATTTCTCCTAGCAATTTGGTACACAAAGTGTTCCTGTTGTTTAGTTGTGACTTTTTGACGACTTTGTCTGGGCCTGTTCTTGAGAGTTTCTCGTTTCAAGTACCTTTTATATGTTTTCGATAGAACACCCTAGGTATCGCCTGCTACTTCTGCTATGTCTCATTGGGACATTCATTATTCATTAAAAGCAATAATTCTTCCCCTCTGCACATCTGTTAGACCAACATAAGGCATTTTGTTGTTTTTTGATACGAAACAAAATTACTGGGGGATCGTGATTTTACTTCTGAACACAAAATTTAAAAGATAATAAAACGCAACAAACGTTTTTCCTTTATTATCATGTTTGTTTTGAATAAAAAGTCTTATCTTAAAGTTGGCTACCAAATTTTTTTCTTGCAATAAGTTTATTGAGAAATACACAGTGATTCCATATAAGTTTGGTTGTGTGTACTCTTACCACTTGCATTAAAATATACATAGAAACTGCAAACTGCGATTTCTATTGTTTCTGTTTCTGGCTATCCGAACGAGCTAATATCTTCCCCTTCCCACCCTCGCTCATCCAAAATGTTATGTCTACGAATTGAAACCTAACCGTAAAAACAATTACATAATATAAATATGCAAACTTTTGGTAGTACAGCATTTTTAAATGTTTTAATTAATTTTATTTCTAGTAAAAAAAAGTATGTAAGTGTAGGTAAAAAAAAAAATATGTTTTTCTTCGGAGTCACTTTTCCAAATTTTGATTTATTAAAATAAAAATGTTTTATTGTAATTTATTAGACTTCAATTATCTACTATTGTATTAAAGATTTTTTTTTTTTAGATACCAGATCATTTTGAAAACTGTTCATTTTTTAAATGAAGAATAAACCTTTACATATAAGAAGTGGGTAGTCCACACAAATGTATCTACAGTTCTTGTTATTCAACACATAAAAGCCAGCTTACTGATTCTACAAAAAAAAAACAGAAACCATAAAAAAAGTTTGGAAAGTAACCTTCTACTAGAGGCGTTTTTCATCTCTATTTAATAAAAATACACCGGATCTTCAAGACGCAGCAGCAATTTCTAACATTGCCCACTTCGGGAAATTTAAAATGAGCCTACTAAGATCGAAGGTGTATATCCTAAAACCCCTTCTGCAAAAACCTTCCTCAAAACCTCCTGAAAGTTCTAAAGACAGTAAAGTTTTGTCTTTAATATCTGATTCAGAGGGATTTAATAATAATGAGCAGGATCTTCAAAACCGATGAACTCTCAAAATAGTTAAAAATAAACCGGAGGTATATTTTGGATTGCCCAATTGTGTTTTTAAAATCCTCAATATTTAATAGAAGGAAAGTGTAACTTTCATAAACCTTCTACATTTCTGTGTAAATTGGTGATATTGTTAACCTAAAAAACTCATTTTGTAAGACTAAATACA